AAAAAAAAAAAAAAGGAAAACAAAAACTCAAAAACCTTTGGGCTGGGGAGATGGCTCAGTGGAATAAGCATTTCCCTGGCAAGTGCAAGGGCCTGAGTTCAAACCCTGGTTCTGAAAAAAAAAAAAGGGAAAAAAATGTGCTGTGGTGTAGCTTAGTGTAGGGTGCTCCCTTAGTATGCCCAAGGCCCTGAGTTCAATTGCTAGTACCGAATGAATGAATGAATGAATGAATGAATGAATGAATGAAGGCAAATTTTTACATTCTCCCTCCAGAATTAATCTTCTGATTCAAGAGGCATGACTTGGGGCCCATATAGTCCCCAAGTAACTCCGATCATCATTTATCAGAAACACAATGGTATGTAATGATAAAACTCTTGAGTTTTCTGAGCAATGTAGAATTCCATTTCCTTTACTTCATAGCCTTAGATATTTTGCCTCCGTTTCTTGTGCCTGAAGCTAATAGGTCTTTCTGGTCAACTTCTTTTCTGGCAGTTCATTCACCCATCATTCTTGTCAACAAACCTGCCAGCAGTACTGCTTTTCCTCATTTCTAAGTCATTATGCTGTATGAACTTAACACAAGATTTTTAAAAAAACTAATACTTTGAATGAATAAAGAAGAAACAGAATAATTTTGGCTACCAAAATATGCAAACAAAAAACTGTAAAATAGATAAATGGAATTCTAGAAAGGCTCAGAACTTGGGAACAGCAGATATAATTAGAGGGAGAACTGATAATAGGAAAAACTCAGACATTGTTCAGAAACCTTAAAGGTTGATATGTTCTCACTTGTACCTCCATTTCCTCACTAAAATTATTCTAAAGAATTGCACAAAGCTCAGAGAAAACCAACACGGTTAGTGAGGGTAATGGAGCCCCCACACTGACGCTTTCTCAATTGTGGCACTTGGGTTCCTACCATACAATGGTCGGCTCCACTCCACAGTGTTCCAAGTTAGCCCTCTTTTTTCTTTATTCTCATGAGATTTGAGAAAAATCATAAGAAGCACAGAAAAAAATTATCACCAGCAGAAAGGATTCAGAAAATTGTTTCCAAAATTGTCAGAATAAAAGGAGGCTTTTCTTAGCCCAGTGTTTTTAGACACTTTGGAGCACTATATGATAACATTCAGAATGGATAAGAACTGTGCTATTTTTACAACCTCATGAAACAATTAGGGACTACAGATACTTAGGGAAAAAAATCTGTCGGGGCTAGGGAGATAGCTCAGCAGCATAAGTCTGGAAAGCACAAGGTCCAGAGTTTGATCCCCAGTCCCACAAAAAAAAAAAAAAAAAAAAAAATTGTCATATAGCATTTGGTGTATGTGTATTCAAAAGATTGCTGCTATACCCAACTGTAGATTAAGATATTATATTCTTCACTTAAACCCCTGTTATTCTTGAAATTCATTCTTCAATTGCAGAGAACATGAACTCATCCCAGATATCTAGCAGGTTGGTAGTTTCTTTCTCCTATATCATTATCCTCATTTGTACCACAGATCTACCTGTTGATGAACCACTTTTCAAAATTAAACTTTTAGGGCTGCAATATAGCTCAGTGGCATAAGTGCCTGCGTGGCAAGTTCAAAACCCTGAATTTGATTCTCAGTACTAAAATAAAACAAAAACAAAACCTTTAGATATGTCAAATAAATTACATAGAATCATAAAGGGAACATTATAGTCAAATAAATCTATTAAAATTAGTTGTTTAATTTATGACATAATAAATATACTTCTCTATTAACATTAAATAAGAGTTATTTTTTATAGGTTGTGGCCCTAGTATGAATTGCTGAATTATGATGGTGGTCATTCAACCTGGCTGAAGCCCTTCAAAGAACAGCTTATCTTCCCAATGACCACTTCCTCCTTCTTCCCCAACCCAGTCCTGGATACCTTCCCCAAGCACACAGGAGAGCCCCCCACTAAGCTCCTTATATGTAATTGAAACTGCCCCTCAAACTCCACCCCCAGAAAAAGTCCATAAAAGTCTCACCTTTCTTTATCTCTAGTCAGGGTGTTACCCATCTCCCTCAGATTTTCTCTGTCTTTAGAATCAATAAAGGCTTCTTTTATCTTTTCTCTCTCTTTACTGCACCACCAAAAAACCTAACAAATTTAAAATACTTCACCTTCTGAGCAACAAATTTGATAACAACTATACATAATATAACAACTATTAATTTTCTATTCTTGTTTTGAAATTCTGTACCATTTTTATTGTGCTATGTTGCTTTGTTTTTGCCTTTGTTCTTGTTAGTTGTTTTTGTTTTTTCTCTCTTTAAAATGAAATTAAATATTTCATCTTGAAAATTATAAATAACAAGATCTATAATAATTTTCATATACCATACAATATATCTGAGATTTCCACAGCTGACAGTTGCAGGTACTAGTAATATTACTATTTTTGACTATTTACAGTTAAAGGTACTAGTAAAATTAAATTGAAGCAGAGTATAAACTTGAATTATAAGTTCAAAATCATAAACCTGTTGCATCCTGGGAAATCCTGATTAAGGGTCTTTGTCTGGAGTTAAAAAGAAATCACAACTTGCATAAAGTAGCCTAAATCTAAGGAAGGAGTTGGGAAATAGAAGGTAAAGAAAATGAGTACTACCAATTATGGGCTCACTCTAACTTTTGTGGAGCTCAGAACAAAAGCCCAACTGGTGATACCTAGCTTACACACCCACTTCTCCCCAACTCCTCACTTTTCATTGCCTTTTATCTTTCTCAATAAGAGACCTCAAATGAAATCCCCAGCAGGTAGAAGTGATGGTTAATTGTAATTGTCGACTTGATTGGCTTGAGAAATTGCTAGAAAATTAGTAAAGCATACTTCCGGGGTGTCCAGGTGGGACATGGATGGTGATCTGGGAGACTACATCTGGTCACTGGCCCTTTCCTCTGGCTCTTCTCCTGTTCTTCCTGGATGACATAAGGCTAGGCTAGCACCTTTACTCCACACCTCTTTAAGTCATCATTGGCCTCAGAGCCAATCAGCCATGGACTGAAACCTCTCAAACTATAAGCCAGAATAAACTCTTTGTCATTTAAACTGTGCATGGTCAGTGTTTTACCCCAGCAACAAAAGAGTTAAAGGGAAAAAAGGAAAGAGGAAAATGGTCTCCAGCTCCTCACCCATGGTGAGGCACAACCAAATGGAGCCATCTGAAGGATGGGGCTTTGAGCTGTGGCCTGCTTCTCTGGATCTGAGGGAGTTCCTGAGCAGGTGTGTTGCCTTTTATTTCACAGCGAGCAGTTGTGCAATGTATGGGAGACACTAAGAGCTTAATGGGCAAAGGTTCTATAAAATTCTGCAATTTTGCCTTTGCTCTTATTGTTATTATCCAAAATCCTATGTGGAATTCTCCTTTGTTTCTAATTTTTCACTATATTCTTTATGTTATATTCTTTGCTTTTCACCTAAAATACTGTGTTGTCATTTCTTTCAGTATCTAAGTCTTAGTTCTATTCTATATGTAGCATTCAAAACATTCTAATACACTGTGATTTCTTGAATACTTTACTCTATGTAAAAAGTTTATATTTTCATTATTACATAAAAGGCAGAGCTAGGTTTCCATCTTCTCCCCACCTTTGCTTCACCTCATCTTTACCAGAATGACAGAAAAAGTTTCTCTTCCATCTTTTATTTTCAGTTCTTTCATCTTACCACACACTCATTCTAGGAATAAAGGAGGCAATTTCCCTTCTTTCTACTGTGCAATAGTGGAAACAAGCAACAATAATGCATTAACTTTACATACAAAAGTATGTCTGCTAGGTCTCCACAGCAGAGTACAAATATTCAGAACAAACAAGTCCAGTCATGTAACTCAAAAGGAATGAAGCCAGGATCTTGGAAGGGGATGGGTAGAATGGGAGAAAAGGAAGAAAACATGGGAAAAACTGACTTCCCAGTATACCAGGCAATCAACTCCTCATCAACAGAAAGGTAAATTAGGAGAGTTGCAAAGAGAAGTTGACAGAAATTGTTCAGTTTCAAATTTATCATGATTGCCTCTGATGAATGTTCTTTGGTATTTGACAATAAGACCATATGTCTTTCTAGGTATTGTGGCTAACTTATTATAAATTATATCCTTCTTTATTAGAAATAATTAAGTCTTTATTTCCCATTTTTCTTTTTAATTCCTTAAGCCTGAACAAATCCATCACTTTTTAGCCCATCATCTACTCTGCTATCAGAGAAGTTCATTTTAGTGAGGATCAGATCATTTTTTCACTGTTCTTTATGTTCTGCATACAGGTTCCTTTGATTCTGAAATTGTCAAAGCCATATCAACTAAGGAAAAATGTAATCTGTGTCTTTAAAACAATATAGCCTTTTCACACTTTCTGTAATATATGGAATCACTATGTTTAACAACAAATAACTCTGTTTCTGAGGTTGTCAATCTTACCTCTAGGTTTGACTACTAAATTTGAATTTTTCCATACTACATTCTAACCCACACTTTGACCTATAATTCCAGTCACCTGTTGAACTCTCACTGAAAGTCTCATTTTCACAGCATCAAATTGCTGAAATAACACTTGACCTCCAGTGTTAGAGCCAGAAATTCCTGTGCCCTCTCTGAGTCTAACTTTTTACTGAGAATTAAAACAACATTGCCAGTGCAGTGATTTTAATAAATCCATTCTTAAAACAAATCTATCAGCTTCAGCCTAAAGTTCCACTCACTCTACAGCTCAGGAACAAGTCCAAAGCTACAATCTCTTCTCTTCATCTCCCATCA